TTTACCATTTGAAAAAGATGCACTCTTCTGGCAGCCTCTGTACTGCAAGAAAACCTCTGTTAAATCAGTAGCAATGGATTTATCCAATCCACTGTTAGTATCAGCAACAAATGGCAATCTAATTCTGAAATCAGACATCAAACTGATCCATCCACCAATCCAGTTTCCATGAACCTGCTTTGCTAATCTTCCACTGGAAATTTAATCCTACAGCTAAAAATGTGTCATATAATTAGAAATGAAATGTATATCCAGCTGTTGTCCAGTCTTCTTTCAGTTTAAATAGGTGTGGCTTTAAACAGTTTGCCACCAGCAATGTGAGCCATATGTTTGCTTAGCACATGGTTTGTTAAAGAGAATTAAGTGTTGTCAAAGTGAAGTGACAGCAAGTTATAGTAAATTTAACATTCAGAGAGGTATTGTGACTACACAGGAATATCAAATAAACAGAAGCATTTTAACAAAGAGGTGTATTTAATTTTTTTTACATCATTTGTAATATATTTGGAAAGAACTTTTCATAAAGTAGTGACATAGAGACACAGACACAATTGTGGATGTTACCACCTTGGTAACAGGGCATGGTATTTACTACCATGGAGTCAGGCTAACTCCAGAATTAACCTGACTAGAACCTCCATCAATACTTAGTATATATCAATATATTACACCAGCGCCTCCAAATCCAAGACCAAAAAGGTTAGAGTGGTTTCTCCGGCTCGGAGAAAAGGTCATGCTTCAAGTGGAGAAGTTTAAGTATCTAAGCTTCTTGTTCACGAATGAGGGAAAAATGGAGCGGCAGATTGATGCAGCGTCTGCATCAATCTGCAATCTGTGGATGAGGGAATGAGGGAATGAGGGAATCTGTACCGTTCTGTCATGGTGAAGAAAGAGCACAGTCAAAAGGTGAAGCTCTCAATTTCATTATCAATCTACATTCCTACCTCATCTGTGGTCACGACAGAACAAGATCATGGCTAGAAGTAGCTGAAGTGATTTTTCTCATCAGAGTGTCTGCCTCTCCCTTATAGATAGGGTGAGAAGCTCAGTCATCAGAGAACAACTCAGAGTAGAGCTGCTGCTCCTCCACATCAAGAGTTGACTCAGGCCTCATTTAACATGCCTCCTGGACGCCTCCCTGGTCAGGTGTTCGGGTCACACCCGGAAGAGACACAGGACACGCTGGAGGGACTATCTCCCTCTGCTGGTCTGGGAATGCCTTGGGATTCACCTGGAGATTTCTACAGCATGGTGTTGGCACTGTCAGGCAACAAACCCTTGATGACCAGAGGGATCAACTCATGACACAAGCTTTTGAGAGAACATTAAAGTAGGTGGAAGCCATGTTATTAAGCACTTTACTGGCTAACTTTAGCCACTCAGCGAGGGGACATGAGCTCTTCTCAAGCTGACTGAAGACCAGATTTGCTGCTGCATTCTGGACCTTCTATAAAGGTTTTACAGCACAACCTGGGAGACCAGTTAGTCCAGCTATGCAGTGGTCAGGATGGGAGATTACAAGGCACTGCACCAGTGAGTTAGGAGTCGGAAGAAACTTCATTAAAAAAGGTTATATTTGTACCTATCAACCCCTATGAGCCAGTCTTTATTTTCAGACCAGAATTTAAGCAAATGTTTCATCTCGAGGTCCACACCTCATCTCAGAATCCTAAAATTCAGCCACTTAAATCTGGATCTCCAGCCATCTCAGTCTAGCCTTGTTAAGTTCAAGCATCTCTCTCAAACTTTATTCCACCCATTCTCTTTCGGATAGGAGCCGCCTCTTCAGCATCCCTTCGTCTCATACCTTCATCCCTCCATTCCCTCATCTCTGATGAAACGATTCAAGTTTTAAGTTGCTGGTTATCCCCGGCGTACTGTTCATGCATCCACAATAATCTCAGTGATTCATGACAAGCTCGTTCTTTTATTTGTTCTATTTAAATCAGACTCTTTTGGGGGTCCTATGCGGGTTCGGGAAAATAAGAAGATCCGTTTCCCAAAGACCAAACCCCCACGCAGAGTCTTCACCTCCCAATCCCTCCATCATTCTCCCCAGATAACCAAATCAAGATCATTCATCCCTTCAACCCTTAGCATTTTATCCTTTCATCCCCTCATCCCTTCATCCTTCATCTCTCCATCCCTTCATCCCTCATCCTTCCATCCCTCATCCCTACATCCTTCATCCTCCACCCCTCATCCCTTCATCACTCCATCCCTCATCCCTATATCCTTCATCCTCCACCCCTCATACCTTCATCCCTCATCCCTTTCTGCAATAAATCTTTAATTCTATATCTTTGTGGTGTAGTCCTTGTTAGTGAAATCCTCCTGAATTAAGTTATTCTTCCTAACCAAAGCCATGGCTCCAAACCCTCACAATCTTCTTTAAAATCTAACTACCGTATTTTCCGCACTATAAGGCGCACCGGATTATAAGGCGCACCTTCAATGAATGGCCTATTTTAGGACTTTTTTCATACATTAGGCGCACCGCATTATAAGGCGCATAGAATAGACGCTTCATACTCTATTATTACACATCCACATTAATAAAGAAATGGTCCCCGAGTACTTTATATAGTAGGCTGGCCCAGTTGTTGTTTCACTCCCGGTGTTGGTGTTGCGATATTATGCC